GACCTGGACAGATTCAGATGGTGTACCCTCATTGGTGTGTGCAGGAATGCTAACAAAAACAGAAAACATGAGCAATGAAGTTATGTGCAGAATAATGCAAGCTTGTGCATGTGGAGTTTGGGGTTGGCGTGTTTTGCTCATTTGTGGTGGAGGGGCGTTTTCGGCGTTGGCAGTGAAGCTGTGCTGTTGAACAAAGCCTCTCGCGAGGAACAGCTACGTTCCTTTGCATTTGGGCGAGGCCCATGTAATTGGCTTTGAGCGTGCAACATTATTCACAACGGAGCCATGATCATAAGCTGGAAATATCACATGCGTTGTTAGTCCATCCTAACGAGCAGGTTGTCCAGACTCAATACAGCAAGCCCCCCTCTCGCTCTGGACTGAGAATGCGTTGGCTCGCCGGCAGCCAATGGTTGGCTGACATAGGCGCAAAATGGGGTCTTGGGTAACTTGTCAACGCCATGTCGCGCAACGCAAACTGGTAAATATCACCGAAGCGTGGCGGTCAGTTTGCGGTCTTGCCGTACCGCGTGTTGCCTTCTCAGGCATTGAATTGCACCTGAAATGGGGCTCCCAGTGGGTATTTGGACCATGTTGGGCATGGGGTGTCGCAAAACAACCTTGACAGGTTACCCCCACCTCGTTGGCGGCAGCTGGTTCTTGCTTCGCTCGCGTCCCGGATCCCAGCAGGCGCGCTTTTGCCCTTTCGAGTTGAGTTCGGTTCGCTCGTCGGCAATCATACACTGTGAGGTACATGGCCAAGAATACAGAGGAAGCAACGCGGATGGACGGCCACTGACTTTGGGTAAACGGCCACAGACAGATGCCATTCTGGACGCCCAGAACTGCGCATTCATCGACAACAACGCTGACAAAGGCGGAGCCTTCCTCTTCCAGGTGAGAGACTCTGAGAATCTTTCAAACGGATGACAACATTTCAACCGATGTTCTTGGGCATCGACTGGCGCGTTCGCTCAGAGTCAGTTCAAATTGTTTTAGATGTCGATAGTCATGTTGCTGCTGTAATTTCATCCATACGCTTAGTTTTCCGACAGGGAGATTTCCAGTCACTCTGCTGCAACTTAAGAAATCCTCTCAGTTGTTTGCCTCTCCGCAAACGGTTTGAGGGCTAGCTTTAGGAAATTTCTAAATCTCTCAACATTGTTCCTGCAACGATACTTCAACAGTGCAGCGCTGCGGGTGTTGCGCGTTTGTCGCACGTCACACCACTAAAACTGCGGCCAGGACTTGCGAACAAACGCGCTTGATCTGGGCACGCTTCTGGCATTGCTGTCTGTAACCATGTCATAGCATTCGATTATTTTTAAGTGTGAAGCTGTTGGCAGTAAATACCTGCAGAAGCTGGAGCATCTCGCCAATTGCGTTTCACCTGAAGTCGGCGCAATATAAACGCAGATCGGACTGCTGATTGGCCGTGCGTGCATGCGGACAGGGCAACTCCACGGTGAGACTCCAAAGCTGTAATTTTGAGGATAACGTTGGGCATGCATTCGGAGGAGCCTTATATATGCAGGCGAGTTTCCATCAACAACATGCTGCTTTGTTATGGAGGTCGTGCGATAGAGTATTATGCTCTGAGTGCATTTTTTCGCCAATGCAATTGGAAGGTGTTGCAGCAGCCTCTGCCTTCCAGAATTTGTGGTGTTGGCACGGCTCGCCTGTTCTACATCTGACTGTACATGTTGTCTCAGCCATATCCACGTCCATATCCCAACACCGAAAGAACTCACAGCAGATTGAGTATAGTGTGTACAGGGCGTGGATTTGCTATGCCTAGCTAGGCTTCACATTATATTGAAAAATTCATAGACGAGCACGTGAGTGTGCGTATGCAAGGAAGACAAGATATCTGGGGCTTGGGCCGGTTCAAGAGGCTTGAGAGTTTAAACTTCGCCAGGGCCAGGCAATTTCTGTAGCATCCCAGCATGCGACGTCGGAGACCAGTGCATCTGATCTCATCCCCTCCTGCTACCCTCCGCTGGTACAAATGCCTCTCTCCCCGCTCCCACTGCCTGCTAACCTTGGCAGGAAATACCCCACTTGTTTGTCGCAAATTGAGAGATGTGTTGGGCCAGGCAATTAAATTGTCTAGCCAACTGCTGACTGATGGGTGTCATTCTAGAAATTCCCAATGTCATTTCTCATGCAGAGTTTGGTCTCATCAGGATGAACGACCATCTTACCAATCCGTATTCATGAGATACAATGTATATCCATATCGCTTGTTGACGCTGTTCCCCTTTGAGTGCGCCTAAACGGCCGAAATAACCAAGGCACCCAACAAAGCCGAATGCGCTGTGAGAAAACCGCCGGGCTCGACAACTGCGCAGAACTGGCATGGGGAGTATGGGCGGAGGTCGAGATACCAGAAAATTTTGGTCGCCTGCCGTCGACATGAACCCTCGGAAAAGTTGCACGTCCTGGGTATGCAATATGATGGTGGCGGGTGGGTGGGGGTGTGGTATGGGTGGGCCATTTTTCATGGATGTGGAATGTCACATGGGTGCCCGTTTCTGGGACACGGGGAGGACGTGGGCTAGGTTATGGCCATATAGCCTGCATGGTATTTCCGCAACCATTTTTCCGACGACGCTTCCCCTGCTTTCCTTGCTCTTCTGCGACGGCGCAAGTGCGTTGATTGGCAGCGTCCATGATCGCTCACCTTATCCCATGCGGTCGGCGCACCCATCTCGGCTGTTTGCTCCCAAAGAGATATTCAACCAAAATGGTCGAATCTGGTGCCGAAATGTCCGCTACGTGAGCGGTGCTGAGTCTTTGATATTCCCCGGCCTGACCTCGTCCACCACGAACGGTATTTTCTTACAGAACCGTTCGTAAGACAAGAGCGACTTGCTTTGCCGCTCCTCGGGCATGCCACCCATGGTCTTCATCTTCCAAAACACCGAAGGTCGGCTTGACCCCGGGCCTCAGAATCACCCACCTCATAATGGATCAAGCGCACAGCTTGGGCGACTGGTTGTGTTGGCCTCAACCAGGGACACTGCGCTGGCAGGAGTCAGCACGTGCGACACTGCGGATATCTGGGCAACTGCCAGGCTGATGCGCCCGCACACGGATGGCCGTCGACCACAACATTCATTCTGTTTCAGTTGACACACCAATTTCCTGTGCGATCTCATTTTCTTGCAGATTCCATTTCCAACAAAATTGGAATATACGTCTGATGCGTATGGATCTACCAGGTCACAGCTGTTCCCGGCGGAAGCCTGGCTCGATCCACCGATATTTGTTGGCCAGAAAATGTCGGCTTGCTTGGCTGTTGTTCACCGAATGGCAGCGTTTGGTTGCCGTTCGTCTTGGTATTTGCAATAACGGCCTACGCGGACATCCTTTCGCTACGACATGTTCGTTTTTTTTTCTTGTCAACATTTCCCGATCGCGTGACGTGACATCGCTACGACATGTTCAGTTTTTTTTCTTGTCAACATTTCCCGATCGTGGCCCTCAAATGCGCGGAACCAACTGTGGATAGGAATGAGGCATGGATGCGTGGTTGGGACTAAAATCGTGCATAGGAACATCGGGTGTGTTGAACCGTAAATTTCAATCGAATTTATTGGCATGCACAAAAATAGAAAACCGATTCATGGGAAATCTTGCAGATGATTTAAATGAAAGCAAGGATGCGTTGTGTGTAGGGGAGTCTCAACTCGCAGTGCAAGTGGATGCACATAAGTTCCGAACAATTGACATTGATGTTGCTCATTGTGCGCTGCGCTGTCTGGCATTTCCTCTGATGCACTCTGCAAACATTGTATTGCTCACCGTTTATGGATGTCGTACAGAATGGCGTGAGTACAGAAATCAAGGATTGCATGTTTGTCAAGAATGAGGCCACTAATTCTGGTGGCGCGGCATATGCAAAGGTGAGCGGCGTTACAAGACACTCGTTGACCAAACAGACGTGCGCTAGGGCCATCGCATATGTAGAAAGAGCAAATCTCTTGTTGCCTATTGCCATGAGAGGCGCAAGATGTAGATTCGAAGGGCTGCTTAAGATTACCGGGTGCTGGCCAATGCACGGTTTTGAACGCAAATCTAATCGTGCTAAAAAGCAACAATGACATCATGGCGGACAACAGGTTACCGCATACCGCAGCTGCCCGACATATCGCCTGGGTCAAACAATGTAGTCCCTCAAGCGAAGGTGTTTTTGTAGTACGGTGTTCTAAGCACGCATTCCATTCTCTTGTGGACTCTGTTGGGAGTTGACGTACAATGAATACGAACTATCTCTGTACCACTAAAATATTCTGATCGTGCTCGTCGACCATTGAATCACATTCCGTGAGTCAGGTGTATACGCATGGGTGCCGGTGTGGGGAATGGGCGCACTGCCGGTGAAATGCAGGGGAGCATCTGAACAAACCATCAATAGGCCTCGATGCAGAGGCAAGTGGCTTAGCGCGCACACTGGCGTACATGGGTACAAGCAATATACACGTGTTCTTGGGGGCTGCTGGTGACAAAGCTCATATTGCCTGACATACCATTAATGGAAATTTTAATTCGATTAGACTCAAAACCGTAGAGGCATGGAAACGGCTGAGCGAGATACGATTGCGAAATCTTCGATCAGGTGGGAGTGTATGCAACCATGTATCTTAAGCGTTATGAGAGATGTGAGGGTTGCGATTTCGCAATCCAGCCTTGCATTCCTCTCTATGCAGCTACTCAATGGAGTGCAACAACTGGTCTGAAGTTCAGACTTTGTAGTGTCAGAGACAGAAATTCCACCCATTCAACGCTAGGCGGGAGAGGGCAACTGCAGTCCCCACATTACCGTTGGTGCCTTCTGGCATTATTGCAAATATCACTCTGTCAGTTTCACACAATAGAAATGAACGGAGATGGTGTCGCTGGCGCAGAGAACGTGGTTCCTCCAGACTCAAGGAGTTTCAATTGGCTAGAATCATGCTGCGCCCGCTAAGCTGATTTCGCCATCCTGCTGACCAGGCATGCGTGCTTCACAGGACTTGCCCACGTTCTATTTCGGAAACTGCAGTTTTGAACAGAACAGCGCCGAGTTTGGAGGTGCTTTGCATGTAACGGTGAGTGCCGACAATGGGCTTATCGCAAGGTGTGGGTGGGCGGGAAGGGGAAGTGACGAAGTTGTATTATCACTTGAGCAGGGGGTATTGGGCAGGCTCCCCGCATGGCGAGAGATTCGGCCGCCGAAGCGATGTCTGTTTCCAAACAACGGATGCCGCATCCTGCGTTGACACGTTTTGCTATTTTTGCCATTATGCTGCAAACTCGCCGCACCCCTAATTTCGTTCACCTGCATTCATCAGTTACGATTGTCAGCGCTTTACCTCCGCCCGATGTCCAGCACATGCATGTCTATCAATATGGCACAGTCATCCTTACGTTTGACATAGACGATAGCGCGTGGCTTTGAGTCAACAAAGCATGCAAGAGTTATCTCCGCTACCCCAATGCACGAAAAGTTGCGCAGGATCAAGCCCTTCTCTAGCAGTCGGCGCATATTGCTGCGCTCATTTGCATTTGCAAATTCCATTAGAAGCGATATATGCAAAGCTCACCTGAGGTGTTTTGGGATTAAAACTCTTCTTGTTGAATTTCGGAGTTTGTTTGTCCTCAGCATATTGTGATCCATGGAAGCTATTCTCTTTGGGAAGCGATAATATACCTCGCCTCTTCGAGAACGTGTGTGTCCTACTTATAACAGCTACTTCCTATGTCTGTGACTTGGACGTCTTACTTCTCTACCATAGACGCTTCAATTTTCAGTGAAACTACTAGCAAAAGTGCGCCTATATTTTGAAATATACATTCATAATTTCAATTCCATCCGTTAAGTATTGACGATTTGGCAGTAAGCGTCCTCCTGCCAGAAACGGCCATTTTGCGATGGCGAGGAGCGGTGGCCAAATAAGATCGCTCGAGCAAAACTACCCGGCCATTTGGATAGAGCTCGCAGACGTCCCTGCCAAGAAGCAAAGCAGTAGAAAACGTGACTTGCTAGACTTGATCGCGGAAGTCGCCGTGGCTTTGCTGCCCCAATGTGAGATCAATTGACCAAATTGGGGATCCATTTTCGGCTCAGTTTTCTGGGCCCCGACTTTTCAAACTCTACCGCTGCTGTGAGGGATATTGCGCAATGCCTGCCAAGCCCCACGAAGAGGTGCAAAGGAATGCGGTGGCCATCGCCCTAATCAACCATGGACGATTAGGGGAGTGGCCTCCAAGGCGAGGAGGCAGAGTCGATCCTTCCCTCGACAGTTGAAATGGTGGAGCGCGAAGCAAAGGCAGCATAGATAAGCTTGCGTTTCTCTCGCAAACAGAACTAGGTAAAGTGCGAAGGGTTGCGACCCGCACGTACAAGTTGGCTGCCAGTGGCGATTTCTGTAATGTGGGCCTGGACATGCAGCGATCCTCGATTCAGCAGTGAATTGAAGCGCAATATCAGAGCAGATTTACAACGCAACAATGAAATGGTAGTCCGAGCAGGGCGCAGGCTTGAGCATCTTGAGCGATGGCCTTTTCCGCTTCTGGCAAGTAATTGCAAATCAGGGAGGGACGCGATTTCTATCATAGTTGAAGCTGTGACAATGGGGTTCTTCGACTGGGATCCAAATATGGCTGAGCGTGTTTGGCAAGCGCTGTTGGAAGCGAAGAACACTGCCCTTAGCCATGATGGCAACAACGACTTTGGTTTGACACGCCTGGGCCGGGAGCGATCCAGAAACGCTCGGATCTCCAATGGATGGCTAAATGGAATGTGAAGTTTTGGGGCGAATCTTGGTCAATTCTGAAAGGGCCTTAGAGGTAGTGAGGTTGAGTAGTTTTTCACAAGATTTTGTATTCAAAGACTTTGGAGCCCAAACTTTTCGATTCTTGTATTTGTTTGTATTTTGGACACTGAAATACATTTTTCAAGTACAGGGCAAGGAGTTAAAATTGTGAAACAAACATCAGGATAAGCAAAAAAGTGCTAATCACCTATTGGCCTGCTCAAACAACATGAGAAAATCTCTACCTAGCCTTGCTCATAGCGGTCAGTATAGTTCTCATTTAGGACAGGCACGTCGGCGATTGCAGGTAGCCTTTGGCTAAGCCTTTAAGAGCTCATAATGACAGCCCCTGCCCCGTTGTAACGAGCTTTGCAATCCTCAGGCAACGTGGCAATGCGAGGTACGGTCTTTATGCACGAATGGTACATTTCTAAGGCTATTTATGCAAAAAAAGTAAAACATTTTATGCATGAATCTGTTAATAGAGAAGTCTTTGCGCCGTAAAGTCCAAGCCTGCTTACAGCATTGAGCCTAAAGCCATGCGGCCGTTATAGGTGCCCATCTGCTGCAATTCTGCTAGAAATTGCGTCACCCACAGTTTGCATTACATTAAAAGCCCGTTTGCATTGAGAGTCGTTCCAAGCACAACGCCGGTTCGGACGTGGTGCCCAGGACGCCCAGTCATCCCATGCATGGGATCTTATGCCAATTTGAAATCTTACCGGAACTCAATTCAGCGAATAAATGTGTGAGTGCATTCCAGGGAAGCGGCACAGCAGACATCAGGAATTCCAGGTTCTTCAAGAACAGTGGCGGAACGTTTGGAGGTGTGCTCTATGCAGAGGTGGGTGGCACGTGGGACCAATTTTCCTGACGGCGCTGAGCGCGCGGTAGTTGGTTACTGCCAAGCCAGCAGGACTTGATGCTTTTGTATGAGAAATGCATGTCGACATAGCGAATTCGTGACGGGAGAGGAGGATAAAAAATATGGCACAATGGGTAAGGGAGCACGAGGAGCAATAAATGCAGCACCATATTGCTAGCATGGTTTCCAGGAAGTCATGGCCGTGCTTGAAAATTACACAATACGAGCGCAACACGTGTGGCGCAACATTTCTTCTATCAGAGCTCAGCTGGCAGCGCTGCTGCTCAGTAAAAGTGCTTGAAAATCAGCACGTATGCGTGACGTCAATGAGCGAGAGGCGCCCCAAATGACGGCGAAATGACAGCAGAGGCCAAAAGCGTTTTCCCACGCGCTCCCAAACTGTAATTCGCGGTTCATGTTCTGTGAATAGATCAACAACACGAGCGTTCAACAAGCGGATACTGTAGTGCTTTACACCCATTTGCATCACAACGCAACGTTTGAGTTTTGCGTGAGGAGCAGTCACGTAAAACGCGACGATGTAAAGAAAATGCGGAGCAGCCCCCGCCGCCACCCGAGGGTGTCTGGAGTGCTCGTGGCAGCCGCGAGCGCGTGATTGCAGGGGCAGAAAATGGGCATTTGAAGTCACGCGAGCCGATCAAAGCCGCCAATCCCGCCATGACCGTGATTCAAAGCACCCGCGCTATCACCCCCATCCCCTCCCCTCATAAATACACACAACAACAGTGTGTCAAGAAAACGCGGAGCAAAATCCGTCTGCTGAAATTTCAACATGCGTAAGGGTTGAATACACTACGGTGCTTTGCTGCGGAAGTCCCCTGCGACCCTTTCCACGAAGCATGCTCTGCAGCACTACCGCGTTTTGTGTGTACAGTGGTTGTATGCAATGATTTTGCATACATTCAATTAATGTGTGGGGTCCGTGTCCATTTCCCAAAACCAGCTGCGATGATTTGAATCGTGATTGGCGATATTTTCTGAGCCTGGGGCCCGATGCCTCTCAGAATTCGGAGCCATGTTTTGTGCCAACACTGGAGCACATCATCTCGGTGCCCTGCATTACTCGCGCGCACGCAATGGGATGCTATTTTAAACATCACATCTGCATCCCACGCGCATGAATTTTTTGAGTTACAGTTGGTCAGAACGCCTCCGGTCATAAAGGCAGCATTCTTCCAAATCTCCCCATATCGTCCAGGTTGCACGGTGAGGCGCACCTCTTCAAGCAAACGCGTCAGGGGATCATGTCGAAATCTGAGTCGCCCTTGCGCCTGACGATCTGCGAACTCTAATCAGAGAATGGGAGACAAACATGCCTGAAGCGCCTGATAAGTAACCAAACCTTGCAAGCTGTGCACAATGCACCGCAAATTAGCCAGTCCGTGCTACTCACGAGATGGGTGTTCTTCCATCCGTCTAGTATTCTTACGCACAATTCGTTTGATAGCGAATGCAAAGTTGAGCTTGCAGTTCCCACTGCACGGCCACTGCACTGGCTCATCGCACCTGATTGGGTTGATTACCACGATCTTGCTTCGCACCGCGCCGGGGAATGGCAGGCCTGCTGCAGCTGTCGACTGCGGATATGGAGATTGAAATTTCTGGCGCAGAAATCCTGATCGAAAAGACAACCGCGATCCGTTGGCTCTGCTTCGAATGAAGGTCGCAGGCAACGGAGAGCTGCACGAACAGGGCCTTCAAATGTGTTTCTGCATTGTCGCGTTTCCATTGTGGTGCACCACCATTGTGGTGCATTGCACCACACCGATGTCTGCTCTCAAGGGCGCGAACAGCTTGTGGCGAGCAGCCGTGCTTCGCCGCCGCAAAAGCGCCCTCCGCAAAATCGCGAAACAGGCACTTTCGCAGCAGCGTCAAAAACTTCAAGAATCTCCGGCCAGTAGACCCTGAAATGGATTTGGAAAGGAGAGGCCGCGCACTAAATTTATGGGCGGCAGCTATGAGAGGGAGGAGGGAGAATGCATGCCTCGTGCGATTCGCCTTTTGGAACAGTTGTTTGCAGGCTATGGGTGGGAATATTTTCATTTCTAAAGTTTAAAGCAGCCGCTGACGTAGTTTCAGCGCTTTCCATGCAATCAAACTCCTCACCACAGCATGTCCTGCCATTAGATTCTAAAGTGAATGGGTACGTCTGCAATTTAAGACAGACAACTGGCTGTAACAGTCCACTCTGATGAGCTCCGACGTCAAACTTTTGCCCTTGAATGGATGCTCAGTACACGTCAGATTGCTCCAAATTAATACATTGAATCGGCAACAGCAGTGGCTTGTGAAGTGCGGACCCAAAGAACTAAGTACTTCACCGAAACAGCTGTCTAATGAGTTTTGTCAACGAGCCTATGATGTTTCAAGCGCAGAAAACGGGGCATTTCAGTGCATAGTGTACCCTGAAATTGCTCACAAAATACAAAAAACGAAGTAATAGGGCCGCTTGATTTCCTTATAAATGTGTTTTTTTCCAAGTGCGCTGGAATGCGCTTGTCTTCTTGGAGGCTAAGGTGCCTGGTACCTCCGAATATGGTGATTTGCGAAAACAGGATGCAGTAGTGAAGTGATATTGAGCTGGGAATTTTTGCTCTGAGACGGAGACAGCACACCTGCCAACAAGTTCAATACAGAGACTTACTCTTCGCGTTTGTGAAGTAACCGAGAAACGAGGGAACAGAGGAAGGGACAATTTGTTGGCTCTGCGCAAGTGTCTGTACCAAATTCAACAATTGTGCGGACTCCCCGCGATATTCCATTGCATGCAATACGTCGCCCAAACAATGCCTTTCCACGTGAGGCTCACCACATTTGGGCGATATCTTTCATATGTGCTTCCTTGTGGAGGTAATAACGCGATTCCTGATGATATCACACGTTGAGCCACGCCGCTTTGCGAGTCGGCCGTCCTGCGCGCGTTCAATTCGAGAATGATCTAGCAAGGTGCGATTGCAGATAACCTGTGAAGCGGGAGAAGACATGTGCATTCCAGTCCCCATTGCCGATTGGAATCATAAACGTGGTATTGACGATGCCACACGAGGCTTGCGTTCTCTTCCAACTAGCTCGCGACCAAGCTTACCTTAGGCATGCATATGTACGGGTCAGAAAGTGTGCACGTGATAAACTAAGACACTTCTGGACTTCTGAATTCGTGCTTGGTGACCAGAATTAGAATTCTACTACCTACTGATTGCATTGATTGGCCATGAGATACTGGACGCAAACAAGAACTTTGTTCTTAACAGCTGCTCCGCGCTTGTTCCAAGAAAGATTACGTGTTTTAAGCAAAAAATTATGCAAAACATGTTTCACTGCCATCTTGCATGTACTGAGCTGTCGTGGGCGCTCGACAGAAAGATGTTCTGGTCGAGATTGGAAACTGCAGTCACGAGCGGAATGAAGCCGACTACGGAGGAGCGATATACGCAACGGTGATACCCGCAGAAATTACCTCCATTTCAATGGGCGTGTGGGGGAGAACGTCGAATTTATAAAGCGGGAGTTTGCACGCGTGCAAATTGCATGAGGCGTGTTGGCTGCTACCTCGTAATTACCGCGGATGCGCAATTCGTGCCTGTGTTGAAACAGCAACTGACACATTATTTGTGGTCACACATCTTCCCAGTTGACTTATCCAGCCAACTCGATGCATCCATGCCCGTGAAGCCATCAACTGTGATCACTGTTGCTCTTGCCTGTAGCATTGTTCACAATAGACATCATTGACATCGCACCGCACGTTGGCCCCCCGCACTAATGATTGGCGCGATATCTAATGGCTCCGAACAATCACAATGCCACAATGATCCGAGTGTTTCATCAGCGCTGCGCACCACAAATATCCGAAGAGCACCCGCCCGTTGAGCAGACGGTGCCTGTTGCCAAAATGTAGATCCCGTCACCGTCTGAAATTTCGAACGAAAACGTTATTGTACATTGCGCGTTTCTACTGCTGTCTACATTGAAACTCGCCACGCGTTTCTTGTGTCGACGTTTCTATACGTCCATTTGCTTTAGATACACGCGCGGCGCCTCTCAGTGAGTCAGTGCTCTGAAAGTGACAGTTGATCGACCCGTTGTTGCCGCTTCGGCATCCTCGGACTCGAAGCAAACGACCGCTGTCACGTCAAGGAAGATTCCCGTAGAATTTTGCCGCATTGCCATTGCACAACGCATATATACCTATCTGAGCTGAGCTGCCAGTCGCACCAACGCAACACCGACACGCAGCTCATAACGCCCATATCCACAATTGAACACGGAAACAGATATCTACAGATAATAACCCCTTCCTCCCCGCCCACCCACAGCGATAAAAGCAAGAATGTTTGTGCAGGGAGACGTGAAAGCAAGCATCAGGAACAGCAGCTTCGCCAAGAACCAAGCCGACGCGTGGGGAGGAGCCCTATGCACCGATGTGAGTGGCCGTGGGACCTGCTTTTTCCTGCTGGTGCGCATCGGAGCTGGAACAGTGCGTGCATGCAGGGCAGGAAACACTTTGAACACTTACGTAATGTTCGTAACCCACACGCGCAAGCCCGGGAGAGGAGAGGGCAAGGAGATACTGCTATAGTAGGTGGCTGAAAGGGAGCCTCGCCTGAGGGACACATCCGTTCAAGAAAACTTTTGACGAAATTGACGGGCTGTATATAAATAATCCAGGTGGCGAAATCCCGCCCTTTTAAAACATTGTCATCTGGCTTGCCGTTCAGTGCCCAAGCTCATCAACATGCGGCATAAGTACGCGGCGATTCTCAAATGGATGAAGCGCCATGTGCGAGCACCGATTTAAAGCACTGCATATGCTTTTTGAGGAATATGGATCCTCAGCGCTTCAGAACATCCACATCTAATACGGCGCAATAAGTATACCGTGACCCTAACGGCAACGCGGGGAAGGGATCTTTCCCGATCCGCTGTGCGATGTGGAGAATGCGTGGAAAATCTGGGGCGCGTTTTGTACGCTGGTCAGAATCGCAAAAAATAAACAAAATTTACGGCACCAAGTATGCCTGGGTTCGTGCCTGACTGGCTCCCAAACAGGTTTCTCGCAGGCTGTGATTAGCCAGATGCAAGGATAATGAGCGCGGTGAAAGAAACGATTTCCCGTGATCTATTTAAAGGCCTGCATTGAAGTGCTCACAATACCCTTGATATAGGCTGCTCAATTTCGCCGATTGGCCGCGAATTGTAAATAAAAGTGCGGGGGCAAATGGCTAGCGTGATCCTGACGGCCTGTCAGCACTTGGGCCAAAAATATGCGGTTATGGAAAACAAGCGTTGCGTACATCGCCGTTTCGCTGAGTTGTCATGGACCTTTGGCAGGCAAATGTCTCTGCTGAAATTACGGATTGCAGTTACGAACAGAACCACGCCAACGAAGGAGGAGCAATAAACGCAAAGGTAAGCGTCCGGGCAAATGAGACTCGGCAAAATGCTCATCTAGATGGGCAGACAGATTCCGTAATGTGGTGCTTGCTGCCAAGCGAGTTATTTTCCTCGCAAGCTTGATCGTGTGTGCTTCGGTTGCACAAGACTCTGCGGAGTCTATTTCAGTGCCCAGAAGGTCACGGTTTCACACTGCGTGGGCGGGCTTTTACGCCATTCTGGCATCACCCAATTGACCTGCCTCATTGTGGTTGCGGCTATTTCTGGCTCCCGATGTCCAGCACACTGCATCATATTTAACATGGCGCACTTGCCCTTTTTCCAGCTGATATGATTATCATTGGCTCTGAATCGATACGCACGGCCACCAGCATCACGTCGCTCACCGTATTGCAACTAGTTGTCTAAGAAATCGTGTCTAGTTGGCAAAGCAACCCTCCGCCAAAGTGGTATCCAACCGCGATCGAAAAGTTCCAGTAGAATGGCAGCGCCAATTGTGCTGGCGTACTTGTCAGCACCACAAGCCGCACCGTTTGCTGTGGGAACTGCTATCTAAGGAGCCAAGATGTTCAGGATCGGCAAATCCATGCTTTTATTCACGTGATGCTTTCCATGCGCGCACCGGCCAATATATATCTTATACTGTGCTTTGCTTTCCTCATCACCAAGAGCTCGAATAAGCGCCTGTCATCGTGCACTACGTGGTATAAAATTTTGTAGATTTTTATGTTTCCCCGTGATTCCAAAGCACGCGAAGGCCCTACCTGAACTCGGCACACAGACAAGGCATAATCTTGATACAAGAATAGGCATTGCCATTGCTCGCCATCGGTCCATAACTATCTTCATATTGGATAGTCATGCGCACCAACGCGAACTTTGCGCAACGCGGGTGTTTTGCAGGCAAACGCTGCAACGGATGTCACGAGCTGCCGTTTCACTGGGAACAGTGCCAACACATCCGGAGGAGCAATGTATGCAAAGGTGAGTGGCAAATGGGCCGAATGTTCCCGCCGAGTCCAAATTAGGGAAGAAAAATTACACAATTTCCTGTTAATTTCCCGGGACAATGTGAGCAAAAGAAGGGAGCAGAGTAAAACGACTGTCGCGAAGTGATTGGGAAAACTGATAGAACCAGCAGTGCACTTTCAAAACTACTGTAGGGGAAACTGTGGAACATTGGTCGTCAAGATAAGAGAAATGCTAAGCTGATTTCACAATGAAAAGTGTTGAACCTATTGACTCTCGGGAAAGCGTATTTTTAAAATAGCATGACCAAACCGCACCTTGTTGTAGGATATGCTTACGCGGCAAAATACATACGCTGTACGCAATTGCCGCGATGGATGTAAGGAGATCTCAAACCCGGGCACTATATTTGCGCGGGTGTTTTGAGAATTCCCGAATGGTTCGATAGTACGCATTTTGCCACGTAATTCCATTGCGGCTCTGCAAGTTATATCCATTTTGTAATAATTCAACTTTGTCTATTCCGTGCGCTGTGAGCATGCGTCCTCATGATCAGTATTCGATTGTGCAAGTACTGGGTATGGAAGTGCTAAATATTTGAAAGGAGGACGCCCACGCTTTGCGCGCATGGCCTCCTGCATGGTTTTACAATTCGGCAACCATATTTTGAATTGCACGTAAATGAATGTGAAGACCGAAATGAAGGTAAATGCAGGTCTTCCTGCATCTTGATGTCCCAGAACTTTCCACGCGGATCCGTTGAAACTTTGTGCGCTGTTGCGGTGTTTCCGTAGTTTATACGATTGCCTGGTAAATTTAGCAATCCCTGTTGTCCCACATTGTGTTCCATTGGCATCACAGCAACGGGCACCCTGTTTCGCGTGTAGAGAATGCCCACATTTAACTAGAAATTTGATAAAGCACCACTTTTTTCACAGGGACCGCTGTTAGCGTAGATGGATATGTTATGATGTAGTTTCGATGAATGTCGCAGCATTCGCGCGACATCCCTGGACCTGGTTCCCGTAGTTATGGCTGCCCAACGGCGAAGAGAAGCTGCCCCACATGTTTGAAATTTACCTGCGTGTAGAAGTGCTGTTGCGATTTTTTGTGTTTGCAAGCGACGCTGAACGTCCACACGAATGAATTTCGAGGTTTCGGCGTGTCCACATACATATTTTCATATTTGCTCATAAGCGCGCCCGGGCAACTTACTAAAATCCACGACGCGGTTGGTCGGCGCGATGGCACACTTCTATTTCTCGCTCTGATGCTCTGCTGGAACCGCGGCAGTTTGCCATTATTTCCAGAGCCATCGATATCAAGAATCGTTGAAAGGAAATTGCGGAGCACTGTGCAAACTGCCCAAGCTGCCCAACTATTGTCGGGCAGGAGTATATGGCCCAACGGTTCCATGCCTCGGCTCTGACGGTCTTTGGGAAAATCGTGCCCGCAAGAGTTTGCATCTCATATGGGTCGATCTACATCGACCGTGTGTCGAGGGATTGTGTCCGTGGACTGATTTCCGATTCTCTGTAAAATGAGATGGTCACGACGCGGAAAGAGAGGGTGAAGGTGGTCGGGGGAGGGGAGGGGACGGGAACCAGTGCCTCCCGTGTATGCCCGAACCCTGTTGTCGTTCTCGGCATAGAGAAAGGTTTTCGTCGTTCACCAAGACATACAGCATATAATACTTTCGTCGCTCAGCTGCCTGATTTCCTGTGAGAGCCATGCGAAGATCTTCGATTGCTTCCCGGAGCGGTGGAACCGTGAGATCCCCTCGCGTGTGGAAAGTCCTTGCTGTGACACAATTTGCGGCTAGAGAGCGATCAGGAAATCGGCGCTCCCGGCCACCGTTTTATCGCCAGATACCACGGGTAGAATCTTTGTTCGCTCCCAAAAGCGGGGCACCTTGGGACCGAACTTATGTTGGAAAACTGGCCGCAAAGCACGGGTGCTCCACCACCTGCAGCACCCGTTAGGACACCCCGGTGTCCCCGCACTGCCATGAAGATGGCACAACAAGCGGGCACCTCGGGCACTACCGCCTGAGCTCTGGCCTTTACCCACTCCTCCGTATTTCATTTACCATTATTCTGTCCGCTTTCGCCGGCATGCCTATAAAGCAAGGTACCTGATACACGTCCTGTGACCTGGGCACTGACGAAGTATTTCGAATGGACCTGCATATAGGTTCAGGGAACGATTGCCTTCAACATTTGCATTTTCGAAGCGAACGTGGCTGGACAGTCTGGAGGGGCATTGGCAGTCCTGGATGGTGCACAGCAAACTGATTCAGCCACGGATTTATTCCATTTGGCAATCGCATCAAGCACATTCCTTGGGAATTCAGGTGGCAATGGAGGAGCACTATATGCCGAGCCGGGCAAGTTTGCGGACAAACGCCGAGCTGGGCAGGCGCAGGACCGCGTGCATGTAATCGAAACCACATTTCATGGCAACAACGGCACTTCTACCGGTGGAGCAGTGTCTATTCAGTCGATCGGCAACCCTGCAGCACGCATGGGGATTTCTCCCCTCGGCACGTCATACGCTCTGCCTAGTGGCACAAAGGAACGCGAAAACGACGTTTTGTTTGAGAGTATCAGCTTCGAACGGAATGCCGCATCTGATTCCGGTGGAGCGATTCATGTCGTGGGATCCCAGGTTGAATGCAGAGAATGCTTGTTCAGAAGAAATTCTGCTCCGGAGGAGGCGAACAGCACGGGGGGCGCTGCTTCCTTGGATTCAGGGTCGGCTTTCCTTGGCACTGACGTGTCTTTTGAAAGAAACAGCGCAATGACAGGAGGCGCTGTGTACGCAAAGGACTCGCTCGTGGACCTAGTCCAAGCAACGGTCAAGGAGAATGTGGCAACCGCCAACGGTGGAGGCATGTATATATCGACCGTGCAAAATTCCAGATTCCTCTCTGGGATGTTTGTGAGGATCAATGAAACGCTCTTTGACCTGAACCAAGCTAAAGCAGGAGGTAGGTGTCACAAACTTGGAAGTTGGCATGCGGGAAGGTATGCCATCAATAACAATAAAAATGACAACAATTACCGTGTTGTATTTGTGACATATGCACCATCTTGCACACACACGCGCACGCACACAGTCTGTTTGTGCGCACAGCTGTGTCGATGCCACGCTTTCAGATGATAGAACAGCTTTCAAACGTTTTCAGATAATTATGTACAAGAGCTTGGTATTCTGTTGGTGTGGAATCGATTATTGGGAAATGCCATGCGCAGCTTTGGGATTGAGAGGGAAAAAAACTTTCCGCTGTCGTCAATTTTGAAACAATCCAGCAGGAAGTGGGCCTCAGGTATGTGACACTAATCCCTTGGTGTGCACAAACGTCAAGCTGCGTCACAGTACGTAGCATGCAGCGGGTACTTCCCCAGGGGCTGTCGACGTTTACTCGTTGGTGACATTTCCTTCTGTGATTCCATTCCGCATCTGTGCTCATTTGGACTGCGTCATCCCTTTTGCATGCGCTATCGCATGTCTGATAGTGTGCTCTGCTTCCGCCCCGTTCTGCTGTTATATCGTTTGCTGCATTCACCCGTTCCTTCCTTACGCCTTAGGTGGGCTCTATTTAGCAATGGCCACAGCAGACGAGTTAGATGTTTCTGAACCGTGGAACGACTACATGATGGTGACGAACAGCGACTTCAGAAGGAACGTCGCGGCCGTGGAGGGAGGGGCACTGTACACAGATGCTCCCAGAGCGGTGGACGTGTGCTGTGCCTGTGATATTGAAGACATAGCTGCGACAGATGGTCGCGCAGGACCGCTGATATTTCGCAGGCCTGGGAAAATTGGCATCTCAGGCCGTCCAAACCCATGCAACGCGACATGGACTGGGAACAGTGCTGGCATCAGAGGGGATGTTGTAGCAACAACCATCGCGTCTGCTTCACTGTGCCACGATTCCGGGCGTTGCGTTGACCATGACGCCATTTTTCTTCTGCAAAACCACACAAGTGGGGAAGAATTGAGTCCCATCAATATTACCATTTCGGATGCCGTTGGGAACCCTCCACTAGCAACCGATTCATTCATTCGTGTCAGCGAGGACTCTCCGGATGTCGTTTTGTCGGGCGGTCTGATCGTCGAAGCCGCGGCCAGCACGACCCTGTTCAGCATCCGCATGACTTCGAGCGTCAACCAGACACACAATTTGACAGTGACGTTCGATCCAAGCATTCTTGGGAGCATTAGGATTCAGGTGACCGTCAGGGCGTGCCTTCCAGGAGAAAATGGCCAAAACCTTGAGATCGAAGATGGAACAGTGGAGATTTGCAACGCGTGTCCTGATGGCTTCTTCAGCTTTGACCCCTCAGACAATTGCACGCTTTGCCCTGCCGAGGCCACGTGCAGGTCATCGACGGTTACACCGCAGGATGGGTTCTGGCACTCCTCATCGAAATCTGTTCAGATACACAAGTGCACGCTGGCGGATGCATGCAAATATGGTGGGAGAGGGGAGAGTCTGTCACAGCAGTCGTGGGCCGCGCACATGAAAGGCAATGCGCTGGATTACAGTGACAACACGAAGTACAGTCAATGCATAGAGGTAAATGCATTCGAACGTACGCGGATTGGCGACACGCGCCCCACTGACGCATCTTCGCGTTACTTTGCTTGCGGGGGACATTCGTCACGTCAGCGAACCACAATTGAATTGAAGCATATTATGAACATGGCGTTGGTTTATTCATACGTTCTATTCGGAAGCTCGTACAAAGGCTTAAGCGACTTCTGGATTGACTTCATTGCAACATGCTGGATGGCACAGCAGTCCTGATCGTTTCGAGAGACGCGTATCATCCTGCCGCTGTGTGGGACTGTCGCGAACGCGACCACATGCCACTCGCGCCATTCTGCGCAGCCTGTTTCCTTTTGGAACGGCTCCTATGTGCGTGGTTGACCGTCGTCACTAGGCCTCTTTCTCTTTGCAGCGCTACGGCTGCGTTGGAATGAACGCATGGAAATGTGCATCTTATAGT